TGCACCAGGCCTCTATCCTATATATGTAAAGGGTAATATGCCTCCCAGCACCGGGATCAGCGGACCGCGAGACCTCCGGCACCGGATCAGCATGACAGGGGGCAGCGCCAAACCCGTGATCGCTCTGCGTCTCTGTGTGTGACAGGGGGTGGGGCCACAACCTCCCTATCCACCCTGCTCTTTTTGTGACAGGGGAAGCGCCCAAACCCCCTGATTGGCCCTGCTCTGTGAGTGACAGGGGTGGCGCCGCAACCTCCCCATCGACCCTGCCTTGAGTGTGACAGGGGCGGTGCCCAACCCCCCAATCGGCCCTACCCTGAGCATGACTGAGGGTGACATCGCAACCTCCCGATCCGCCCTGCTATGTGCATGACAGGGGGCGGCGCCCCAACTCCCCAATCAGCCCTGCTCTGAGCCTGACCAGGGGCTGCACCTAGGGATTGGGCCTGCCCTCTGCCACCCAGGAGCAGGCCTAAGCCAGCAGGTCGTTATCTCCTGAGGGGTCCCAGACTGCGAGAGGGCACAGGCCGAGCTGAGGGACACCCCCTCCCCCCCGAGTGCACAAATTTTTGTGCACCGGGCCTCTAGTCTATAATAATAAAAGCATAATATGCTAATTAGACCAGATGTCCTTCCAGAGGACCTTCCAGACAAAGCCGGGGCTGTGAGGGAAGCCTGGGTCCTGGGTGCCTGCCAGCGATTGGAGCAAAGCCTGGGTCCCGGGTGCCTACTGGTGGCCAGAAGGAAGCCCAGGTCCAGGTGCCTGCTGGCGGCTTGAGGGAAGCCCGGGTCCTGTGTTCTGGAGGGAAGCTGGTGTCAGCAGCTGGGGGAAGGAAGTCCTTCTCTTGCACGAATTCCATGCATCAGGCCTCTAGTCTTCTATTATATAAAAGCCCAGCGACTGTTACGGTGGAACAACCAGAATGACTGGTCACTATGACGTGCACTGACCACCAGGGGGCAGACACTTGAGGTAGGAACTGCCCCCTGGTGGTCAGTTTGCTCCCACAGTGGGAACGCTGCTCAACCAGAAGCCAGGCTCAAGGCTACCAAGTGTAGTGGTGGTGGCAGGAGCCCCTCCCACCTCTGCGGCAGTGCTAATGAGCAGCAAGCCAAGCAGTTAGAAGTGAGCAGGCAGGCGGTTAGGAGTGTGGGGTCTTGAATTGAAAGAGACCACAGGCCAGGCTGAGGTATTCCCCCCGACACACACACACACACACACACACACACACACACACACACGAATTTTGTGCATTGGGCCTAAAGTATGATATAATATATATAGGAAAATGCTTTGTCAGCTAAAAATGTACTGTGGATTATAAACTGATGTAATTTTTCCATAGTAATAAGATAATGGTTATTTAAAACTATGTCTATAGTTATACATGTAAAAAAGGTTGTTTCATAATTATTTATAATTACTATAATTTACATTACACTTTTCTGCCAGAATCTTACCCACCTCCGGAATTCAGGTAGCGTTTCCCAATGTGTACAACAGGATACTTGTCTGCTAGTCTCTTATCTGGCCACAGAATTCCATCTGCTGCAAAGACCACTTTGTGGTTTGACTTTTGAAACTTTTTTAGAACTTCTTCTGGACTGCCAGCAAATATGACATCAAAGCTGTTTAGTGAAGGGAAAACATTTTAAAATATATTAAAAAATACATAAACCAAGAAACAGTCTCTAATAAAGGTCAGAATTTAGACTACAACAAAAGATTAACACCAACTATTTAGAGAGTACACCAAACAATTTTCCCTCAACTTAAAGTATATGTATAGTATTAAATTACTAGTGTTTACATTACTTTTGAAATTGAGGTCCATATAAAAGACAAATTTTGTAGTAATCAGTCTTACTATTTTTTCATTAATCACTTATTCAACTAAATCAAAATTTTAAAAGTATTGAAATGTTAAAATGTCAGTAGCTTGCTATCTAATAATATAGACACAATCATTGACAGAACTTTCCATTGTAACTACTTAATGTTTCAATTTAATTTGTACCCATCCATTATAATTTCTGAAGATTTCATTGCCTTGAAAAAAATTCGACCAACTACTAAGTGTCATAAATATTTATATATTAAACTTATATTTTAATCACAACTAAGCCTGAAATCCTAAAATAGTGTATAGATACGCACATCTTTTTAAACCTCAATAAATTTGAAAAACAATATAAAAGTTGATACTTTTATTTAATATCTATAGTTTCACTGATTTTATACAGATTTTATTCCTCACAGCCTATTTACAGAATCACAATGAAGTAACAAAATATGAAATATGAAAGCCTAATATATTCTCACTCTGTAATAAGTTCTCTATTCTTGCTACAACCACAACTTCTTTTGCATTTTCCTTTTTTACATCAGAGTACCTCAAGGCCAAAGATTTCCAAAGATGAAAACTTAATGACTTAACATCCCAGGTAACAAACAATAAAGCAAACTGATGCTCTTTAATTCAGTACCACCTCTTCCTCAAGTCAATTGTCCAGAGCAGCCATGGGCAAACTACAGCCTGTGGGCCGGATTTGGCCCGTTTGAAATGAATAAAACTAAAAAAAAAAAAAAGACCATACCCTTTTATGTAATGATGTTTACTTTGAATTTATATTAGTTCACACAAAAACTCCATCCATGCTTTTGTTCCGGCCCTCCGGTCCAGTTTAAGAACCCATTGTGGCCCTCGAGTCAAAAAGTTTGCCCACCCCTGGTCCAGAGGCACTGCTGTGACATCTAAATGGAGGAGGAAAGAGGCTGCTCCACAAGCCTCTTCCAGCTAGACTTGCTCTCAAGGAGCTTGTTAATATGCTAGGATAGTAATAATGCATCAAGAAACATTTAGTAACTTTGTGAAAATTTAAATTCTTTGTTGTTTAAAGAATGACACATGGGATTGCATTGAATCTATAGATGGCTTTGGGTAGTATGGAGAGTTTAACAATGTTGATTCTACCAATCCATGAACACAGTATGTACTTCCATTTGTTTAGATCTTCCTCTATTTCTTTTTTCAACAGGATATAGATTTTCAAACTATATCCTGTAGTTTTCTGAGTATAAGTTTTTTACGTACTTAGTTAAGTTTATTCCTATGTATCTTAATTTATTTGTTGCTATGGTAAATGGGATTGATTTTTTAGTTTCTCTTTCTGTGAGTTCACTGTTGGTGTATAAAAAAGCCATAGATTTCTGGGTGTTAATTTTGTATCTTGCTATATTGCCGAATTCATTTATTAAGTCTAGTAGTTTTTTGATGGGAGTCTTTAGGGGTTTGTATGTAAAATTTCATGTTATCTGTGAATAAGGACAGTTTTACTTCTTCTTTTCCAATTTGGATGCCTTTTATTTCTTCTTCTTGTCTAATTGCTATGGCTAGCACTTCTAATACTATGTCAAACAGGAGTGGTGAAAGTGGGCATCCCTGTCTTGTTCTTAGGGGAAATGGATTTAGTTTTTTTCCCATTGAGTATGATGTTGCTTGTAGGTTTGTCATATAAGGCTTTCATTATGGAGGTATGATCTCTCTATTCCCACTTTGCTGAGAGATTATAACAAGAAAGGGTGTTGGATTTTGTTAAATACTTTTTATGCATCAATTGATATGCTCATGTGATTTTTGTCTCAATTTGTTTATGTAATGTATCATGTTTATTGATTTGCAAATATTGTACCAGCCTTGTATTCCTGGAATAAATCCCACTTGGTAATAGTGTATGATTTATCTAATGTAATGCTGGATCTATTTTGCTATAATTTTGTTGAGGATTTTAGCATCTATGTTCATCAGGGATATTGGCCTATAATTCTCTTTCATTGTAGTGTCTTTAACTGGTTTTGGGATTAGGATAATGCTGGAAGAGCTTGGGAGTGTGCCTTCCTCTTGAATTTTTTTGAATAGTCTGAGAAGGATTGGTTTTAGTTCTTCTTTGAATGTTTCATAAAACTCCCCTGTGAAGCCATCCAGACCAGAGGTTTTACTGCTGGAAGTTTTTTGATTACTGCTTCAATTTCATTGGCAGTTATCAGCTTATTCAGGTTTTTTTATTCTTCCTGATTGAGTTTAGAATATTGTATTTTTCTAGGAATACATCTATTTCGTCTAGGTTGTTCAGTTTGTTGGAGTAGAGTTGTTCACGGTATTATATTACAATCCTTTGTATTTCTGTGGGGTCAGTTGCTATTTCACCTCTTTCATTTCTGATTTTCTTTATTTGGGTCCTCTTTTGGTTTCTTGGTGAGCCTGGCTAGAGGTTCATCAATCTTGTTTATCCTTTAAAGAAACACCTCTTGGTTTACTGATATTATATATA